ACATATGAAATAATAATATCATATTAATTTTTATTTATTTATTTAAGAATTATAAAAATAAAACTAATTATCCAAAATATCAATCTATAGTAGTCTGTTGCATTGAATTGATTTGTTCTTTTTTAATTAATTTCTCAATTTTACCTACTAACTTTACTTATTCACTTACATTTTCTTGTTAAAGTAAAATAAATTTAAAGTTTTTAAACTTTGTAATACATTACTAACACTAATAATTTCTATCTCAATACTATTATCCATTTCATTTGGATGATCTACTGATCCATTTTTAATACATCTTCAAATTCCAAAATATTAGAAATATCATGAACTATATCTTCTTTAAGAATAGTTAAAAATTCTTTCACCTGCATCCTATTAGATAAATGAAGAGCTTTTATTGCTTTATTAAGTTTTTTATTAAGCATTAAATCATCAACTTCAATATTAGAAAGAATTTTAATATGATTCTAACAATTTCTGATAATATTAGTTATAACTTCACTCTAACTTTTTAATAACAAATTAAATTGCTTATAAAATATTCATTTTCAAATCTTGTATAAAATGCTCACTTTCAACTTATTTTAGTATCTATCTAAATAAAAAAAATTAGTAAATTAAATTTATAAAATAATAAAATAATTAAAAAAATTAAAATAATCATACTTAATATGATAATGATGATAATGTTTCTTAAAAGACATAATTATTTCAGAGTCCATAGGTTGAAGTCTTAAAGTTATATTAAGAGGTATAAAAGAAACTTTGACATTTTTAAGAGTTAGATTTTTTAATTTATGGCTTTCATAATTATTAAAAAGTAGTAAAATACATTGTTTATTGTATTTTATATCAAATTAATAATTAAATTTCTGAAGCTATTCTTGAAAAAAAGTTATTAATATTCAGGCCTTAGCATTATTCTAGTAAGTTATTAGTAAATTACTAATATTAATATTTTAAAGCACTTTGGATTGGCATATTTATCAATTACTAAAGGAGGTAGCTTATGTGACCCATTTGCATTTATACATATAGCAATAGAAAGACATTCTTTATTTTTTTATATTCAAAAAACTACTTTATAGATAATGTTTATCTAGTTCTAACCTTTAAAGTAATATTAATAAGAAAATAATAACTATTGATATTTATATAAATAATACAAAATTAAAAATACTGATAAAAAAGTCTAGTTTCATTTATGTTATAGATTTAATCAAGAGGATACTCTGTACATTTATGTCCTAATAATGGTAAAACTTCAGCTATAGCATTTTTATTAGTAAAATCTGCTTTTTTATGAAGCTTTATTTGATGAATACTATGATGATCCTTAAATCTTTGAAGCCATTTTTTAGAAAATTGTAAAAAATTAAATTAAAATAAAAAATAAAATTAAAATAAATAAAAATATTTTTAAATGTTCCTTAAAGTAAACTTAAAGTAAATTAAGTAAAATTAACAAAATTGGATAAAATTAAGTAATTTAAGTAAAATTAAACAAAATTTAATGAATTTGTAATGATCTCTGAGGTATTTGTAGTTTATTAGCTAATAATTTGACTTTTTTAATCAATAAATCATCACTTAAAATAGTCTTATACTGGTAAGTTAACATAAATTACTTGAGAATAAGTTCAAGTTCTAGAACAATAACACTCTTATAATATTTTGCATCTGGTTTAATACTTCTATAGTAAGTCTCTTAGCTTTAGTTTGCAAAATTCATATTATAGTAAACTCATTAACTTTTAATTCTCATTTCTATTCAATCTAATTTATATATTAAAAATGAGTCCTTTTATTATTATGATATAGAGACATAATTCATATTTTTGATTATTAGTCAATGTAATCTTTTTTTAGGTAGTAACATATTTGATATATTGTGTATTGTGTATACTGCATAATATTATATATAGTCAGATAATTATTATATGTTAAAAAAGTAGTAGTACATATGTTAAATGATTATATTAGAATTTAGGATGTATAATACATTTTTTACATAAAAATAAAAAGATATTCTTGTGATCTCTTTTTTTTTTACTTTTTTTTACTAATATTTTATCATAATAGTCTATAAAAGTAGTGAAAAGAAATTACAAGAATGAAAAGATAAATCCTTTTCAAAAAGAAAAAAGGTGAGTGGACACTGAACTACTTAGAGTAGTTATTAGTCTACCTGTAGTTTTTTAGATTTTTTTAGATAGATATTTTTTATATATATTTATTATTTTTTTTTGAAGGATTTTTTATAAAGAATATATAATATTTTTTATTATTTTTATTATTATTATTATTTTTTTTATTTTTATTTTAGCTATAAATTATTGTATTAAGTTATATATTTAGTTTCTGATCAAAACATTAATTTAGGTCAATAAAACAATTAAAAGTAAAAATAAAGGTATAAATTTCAATAAATTAATTTTATTTTTAATATACTATTACTAATATTATTTTAGAAATTTTGTGTCTAAAATAACAAAAATCATTTATTGTTGATTTATATTAATAAAAGTTAGATAAATAATAGATGTAAAAAAAAATTAGATAAAGAAATTAATAAGTGGCAAAAATATAGAAAATAAATAAATAAATTTAAATTTCTTTTTACTAAATTTATTCAATTTTATTTGAGTGAATAAATAAAGTATCACATTTTAACATCTTTATTTTTTTATTTACTAATTTGATACTTGTTCACTATTATTTTTGAAAATAATATCCAGGTAGTAAAACTTGGATATCAGTACTAATTTACAACCCAAAAAATATAGTGAACATTCTTTAACATCCTGTATTTAAGAACAAATATTTCTTGCATTTTTAAAAAAATTCTTGCTAAGCTACTGATACTAATGCTTAATCATAAAAGATTAAGTAATGATGCATTCAAATCCTTAAAAATTTAAATAACTTTTTGAATAATAGTCATTAGATGAATTTGATATAAAAGATGTGCAAATATTTAAAAAATATTTTAATATTATACAATGGCTTGAACTTCATTCTAGAAAATAAATTCCTATAACTGAATTTTTAATGTTTGTGAAAATTAATATGAAAATATATGTTTAATGTATATATTAAACAAATGATTAATAAAATAGCTTTATATAAAAAAAACTTTTACATAGTCACTTCACATGATTTATTATAATAGTGATTGTACAGAAGTTTGATAATTATAGTCACATCCCTGTATAATTATTACTTTTGTCTAAACTAACCTGGTAATTATAAAGGGACTAATTATATTAAAAGGTTATGTTTCATAAAATTTCAAAAGTAAAAAGTTATATTTCAGAATTACATAGATTATACAATTCACATGTATGTATTTATGAAAACATTTTATTATATGACAGACTTCAAAAATAATGCATGTGTAGAATATTGAGGGTGTATATTTAGTAATAAAACTCAACATGAGATTAAACAAAAAGGTACATTTATTGAGAGTGTGCATTTAGAGAGTGTGTATTTATAGAGGGTTGACTATATAACAAACATAAAAGTAGAAAATATTAATGATGAATATTATGTAATTTTAATCATAATTTTGTAGAATAAAAAAATGTTAATCAAATAAGTGAAATTATACTTATAAATGCTTCTTGAGCAACGTAAAATCAAGAAATACTTTTTTGGTAAAAGATATTTATTTAATGATATATTATATAATTTATCTTGTAATTACAGGTAAATTATCATTTATTAAACATAATTAATACATTCTTTTAATAAGCAATAAGTGTTTCAGTAAAACAAATTTTTTTACTGGTGAAATCCAACCAAAAGATGTGGTCTTAAAATTAAAACAATTTTGTATTTGAAATCCTGATGGAAAATATGTAAAAAAAAACAAAAAAATAAATAAATTTAAAAATAAAATAAACTAAAATTTTTTAAAATGTGCTTATGACACTTTTTTATTATCTTTATTAATAGTTGTATTTTCGGCATTTGAGTAATTTTATTTATTAAGCTAGTTTTGTTCACATGACCATGATCAGTAGAGTGAACCAATAAAAAAAATTTTTGACTAAAAAGTGGATTTCCCCTTTTTGCTGAACGCCTCCCATATTATAACCCTTGAAAATTTGAGTTAAACAATAATCGGGTCGAGTCGAAATAGGGTTCATAGTTCGAATATACTTCAAACACTGAACACTAGAACTAACCAAAATTGAAATTGTTGGTTAGTTCAATCACAAATAAGATACTTCTAACAATAAGGCTTAAAGATTATTTAATAAAAAAAGAAAGACATACTGATTACTAATAAAATTATACCACATATAGTTCGATTAAATTGATATGTCGGGTGTATGTTTATACAATTCACTTTTAATAACATAACTTCAAAAAAAAAGACAATTTTTATAGTTACACAACCATTTTATCAATACGTAGATTTATGATATTCGTCCATCATTATTCTAAATCAATCAATTTGTTGTATATACAATACAGTATACCAATAACAGTTCCTTTGGAATCGTTACACGATTAATTGTCCTTTTATTATTATTATTATTTTTTTTTTTTTCCAATGAAATGTTGAATTTAATTCTAGTTTATTTACTTTCGGCAAGCTGCGCTTCAGTTGGTATGTTCCTGTGACCTGTGAAAAGTGAATGAATCGCCCAAAATGTGAAAAGTTTCGGACTTTAGATAATTTCCAGAATTCGCTGTGTGCATTTTAAAGACTGTTATCACGTGACCGCTTATATTTATATTAGTAATTTTAAGATAAAAGTTTTAGTAATAAAGTCTCATGGCATTCTCGGCTACTCTAATAATGCTATTAGCATTCTTGTTCCATTCACGCCTTTTTTCTTTCTAAATCTTTTGGCACAAGCCTAACGTAACGTCATTTATCGTATAAAATAAATAATAATGACCTTTTTATTATTATTATTATTATGATGAAATCATATACAATATAATACATAGAATAAAAAAAAATATGAAAATACAAGTATTCATTTTTCATTTAATTTTAATGCCAGTAATTTAATACTCTCTTCAACAGAAATCAATTTTTCAGTTACAACTTGCAACGACTTCATATTGACTTGCATTTTCATTAATTTATCATCATCCGAATTATCGTCTATTGATAATACTTTACTACTAACATCTTCAAATAATAAAGATGTATGAGTACTCCTATAATTGTTGGCTTTATCCAACCATGCCTCCTGATATTCCGAACTTCCGACATAATAAATATATTTTGGATTCCCTCTATGACTACCCATTGGTTTTTCCACTGTTTCATAATTAGCGATCAAATCTGCTCTATAACCTAACACCGCTAATTTTCCATTTTGTCTTGCAACCTCATAAACACCCGTCATAAATGCAATCAACAAATTCTGCATGATAATGACCAATAAAATACTTGCTCCTAAGAATAAAAAAAAAGTTTAATAACTTAATGATTAACGTGATAATATATATATAATATGTGAAATATCTACCTATACTGATCACGTAGACGGGCCAAAAATCCCATTCCTCTATATGTTCCCATCTACCATGGATCCAAAAATAAACTCCCATAACAGAATACACAAGTTTTCCATAATAATTGTCGAAAGGTTTTATAACATTAAGTTGTTGTGAAATGATCACGTTTTCATTATTTAATAATGTAATATTAAAGGTGTCGTCGTCAGGTTTCTCATTAAACAGACTAGGATTTCTTAATAAGATATGCTAATTATATTTGAAATATTTTTAAAAAGAAGTAAAGGAAATCATGAGTTTGATCTTTTTAAAAAGCTCAAATAAAACAAAAAAAAAATTAGCTGATTCATACCATTGCGTGACCGAAAGCAACGATCGTCATTAACTACACATTTTTTAAAAAAAATTAATAAAAAAAATTATAAACATGCTCCTCTTATAATGTTATGATTAAAACTTACCATAAAAACAAGGAATGGCCAAATCGATTTTAAAATGTTTAAAATCATGCTAATATATGTTGCAGTGCCTTTAATTTTTTTTTTAAAAAAAAAAAATAATAATAAACAATCGAGTTTCAATCATATAATAAATGATATAATAAGGATATTTACTTTTAAAATATCGCGTCAGTAATATCTAGAGAAATAAATTCAGAAATTAAAATCACTGATGATTAAAAAAAAAAGTAATTTAACTTACTAATTCGAGCCATAGAAATAAGACCGCGAACGCTTGCGTAATAATGATTTCTTCTGCTTCTGAACTGCCATTAACAAATGTGAATACCATCGTAGCTATCGCAAGCATTATTGATAAAATATCAAGTAAATTATATATGCTAACATATCTTTTCAATTTCTCGTGCTTAAATTGTACAACTTCCGTCGCTAAAAGATAAAATCCAAGATAAAAAAATATTCCATACATTAACTGTCCTACTAAATCAACGTCTTTGATTATTCCAGAAACTAATGCAAACATGAATGAAAAGGCTATGAATAACGCAAAATGACGCCAAAAATGAATCCTAGTTGCCCCCATTTAAAATCGATGCATGCTTGATGGATTATCATATAATTCATATAACCGCCCACCTTCTTTTTTACTTATAAGTTGTAAAAAAATGCTATATTCCTTTTCCTTAGTAATAGCATAACCTCTTGGCCAAAATATGAGTAAGATAAATTTTAACAGAATCTTTAAAATGGCAGGTGTTGTTTCTGTTTCATTGGGATAAACTGTAAAATTTGGCAATGGAACAACACGTAACGTTACTTGTATGGTTCCGTCTTTCGTATCTTTTGTATTCGTCATAAATTTATTCCACCATGAAAGCTTATTTGGCTTCAATAAAAGTCGTGGTCTCACATTTAATGCACAAATTTCCGATTTATATCCATCGATCAATTTATTTTCATCCACAAATCTTGAATCTACATGTTCTTCTTTGGATCCAAAGCACGATTTGTAAAATAACTCCTTTAAATAAGGTTCTGTATTTATAATGATGATGCAAATTATTATCAGATAAAAATATTACGCATGAACAACGCAAACGACTTTGAGAGGAAATATTCATTTAAATACCAAAGTCACGCTTGCTAAGCAAAGGAAGAGCATTTGTCAATGTATACATCCAACCTGTGTAACGGAAAAATTTTTTTGTTTTAGTAATAAATTTCGGATTTCTTGTGAAAATATTAATTAACTCACCGGTATCTTTTTCCGCATTATTTGAATAATATTCGAGCAACATGGCGACGACAACTTTATCCCTACGATGTCCACCTGAAGAATTTTTAATAGCAAGTATCAAATCACTATCATTTATCGGATCACAATTGTCATCTGAAGAATTGTTAAGCATCGAATCACTTTTTTCATTTGAAGGAATTTTCGAATCTCTTTCCCTACTATGTTCATCTGAATAATTATTAATCATAGACCATTTTTTTTCCCTAGGAATATGTATATAACGACTAACTCTCGTTTTATTGTCATCTGTTACTTTATAATCGAATAAAATCTGATGGATCAACGTTGTATTCTTTGATCGGATGATATTGGCCATAATATCATATCGTATTTCAGTTAAACTCCATAAATCCGGATTTTCTTTGATGCATTTTTTAATAAGACTTTCCGTGCCTGCAACCAAATCTTTGTATATGGTTAGATGTTTCAGTTTCATCCCTACAGGTTCGTCTCTTCTTTCATAAAGATACTCCATTGCAACACATGCGTCTTTGAGAACATGAGTTACATTTGGCCAATGAATATGATGCTTATTTTCTTCATGCACCGTCCATGACAAATCTAAAGTAAATTCTTCCTTTCCAACATTTAAAGAAGCAACTTTAATTTCTTCATTGCTTTTATTCACCCAAATATATTCTAAAATTCGTTTATCTTGTTTACTTTTTTTTTCATCACCATTTATCTTCCAAACATGTACTGTTGTTTTTCCAATTATAATTTGAATTTTTTCATTTTCATCAAGATAAGAAGAAATGCGTTTAAGTTTCTTATTATGATTCCAAGGCTCTTTATTGTTAACGACCAATGCTGATTTCTTAGCATCCAACATTTCTAGCCTTTTTCCTTTTAGATTAAAGATTGTGTGAGAATTTTCTTGAGCTTGATTAATAAGAATTGGGAGAAGTTCTTGTGATTTAATAGTAGGAATTAATTTAACGTCCGACAATTTGAGGACTGAACAATTATCCCCATCCTTCTCTCCCTCTCTCTCTCTCTCTGAATATGCGAATATACCACTTGAACAAGCTATTGAGTGATTATTATCCCTTTGTAAGGAACTAAAAATGTTGATTATTTGATCATCATTTACATCAATAATTTTTGAAGTAAAAAGATCCCAATTATATATTTTTATGGTGAATGTAATATTTTCATTTTCACTATATACGGATGATTCAATTTGAGTGACAATGAATAATTTTTCATCATCTTCAGTAAATGAAATAAAAAGGATTTTGTTTGCGTCAGTAAATTCATGCGTTGTAATCTCAAGTCCATTTTCCATTAAATGAATCGCAATACTCTTTGTACCATTACAGTATGCTAATAAGAGACCATTTTTTGAAATGGAAAACATGGAATTTCCACGCGCTTGCGTTAAATCAGATAATTCATCACGTTTATGGCAGATCAATTCTAAATCCAAGGATTGTAAATTATACAATTCAAGTCTTTGATTCCTATAATCTTCAACAAATAAAAAATTTTTCTCAACTTTGTTATATAAAAATTTCGTACAAGGGTTTTCTTTATATAAATTTTCAATTTTAACTTGAATGGTTGTTGGCAACTCATATTCTTCCGCGATCAAAGGACTGTTATGATTGATGAATACTTTTGTAATTCCAAACTTGTTCATTACAATTAGACTCATAGATCCGTCCGATTTATCATCATTTTTTGACAAAACATTATTTAAAAATCTAACAACCCCTCCGCGATCTACAGTAGTTTCGATTTTTCTTGCTTGTCCTTCTTGTAGAATTCTAAAAACAAACGTTTCTTCCAGGTTATCGTTCTCTTGAATACCATTTTCTAAATCTGTACCGTTCATAACAGAAGGCCTGAGAGGAGGCCCGACAGGAGGCCTGACAGGAGTAGGTTCGCAAAAACTTGATACGGCTACGTATGCATTTTTTTCATCTACTTGGCTGCTAGTTGTATAATAATTGGAAATGGCCAAAGAATAATATATTTTCCCAGATAAATTGTTTTTCATACCAACATGTATAGTGTTAAGAGGTGTAGTATTGTTAACGTTTAAGTCGTAAATTTCAAGGATATCTGATTCTAATCATATATAAAGGTGAATGAATAATTAAGCGATTATTTCAATGATGTATCAAACTGATAAAGAAATAAAATTCATACCTGAATTAAAAGTCGCAGTAAGAGACCCATCCGAACTTATATCTATATACGTGGGCTTGGGTATATTTTCCATTCTATTATCTGTCATTTTTGATAGGGTAGCTTAATAATAGCGTTTTTTGTGAAGTTACTAACCGTGTTTATATATATATATACATTTTTCCCCAAAATCAAAATCTAGTTTATTGTTTAGATTGTAAAATAGGATTTCCTTTTTTTTTTTAAATATTGTTCGTTCGATCGTCATCAAAAATCAAAAAATAATAAATGGATTGCGAATAAGGAAAATACATCTATCATAAAAGTTTATTGTTGAAAGAAGTTTTCATATGAATGATCGTTACCAAAAAATTATTAAGGGATTTCATTTAAATTAGAAGGCTTATATTTGAATGATTGAATTCCAAAAAAGTAATTGTTGTCGTTGTAACTCAAAAAAAAATAATAGAAAAAATTACAACACGTAAGCCAAATTGATTTTGAAAAATATAAGCGATTTCGTCCATAGTTTCTTCGGTTTTATAATTTTTTTTTTAATATTAAAATTACCAAGTGAATTATATTTTCTAATTTATTTTAATTCAAAGTGTAAAAATATATTAATTTCGATGTTTTTTAAAAAAAATTCCAGACGTTTTGTAAGATCCGGAATTTTTCATTTTTTTGTTCCGGATATCCATCTTTTTAGATTTACACGAAATGGTGTAAAAGATTCTTTGATTGATTAAGAATTGATATTGTATTGAATAAAAAACCAAATTTGCTTGTACATTTTTTTTCGAAAATGAAATAAATTGAATGGGTTAGTGAAATTTAATTCTTGTTTCCATTTTTGATCAATGGTGTTTGCTGACAATGATTATAATGATTTAAATATGGATAAATCAAGTTTCTGTCTGTGTTCTGATCTTCACAAAACCTGATTTCCTACGTGAGAATTTCCCAACGACGTGTAACGACATTTTTTTTTTTTTTGCATCAAAAATGTTTTAAACCACTGTAAAAATGGTTTATTTAAAATGTGATTCCATAGTTTATGTTCCGTATTTCTTAATTATGTCCAATTTTAAATCCATAAATCAGCCAAGCGCCAAAATTAACTATTTAGGTTATTCTACGGGTCTTTTTTAAAAAAGTTCTCTGTTTTTCGTTTTCATTGGTAGTTACTAATGACAAACTGTAAATGGCAAACAGTTGCTCCAAATTGTATTAAAATTTTTAATTTATCGTGATACGAAAATAAAAAACGTTACTTGATCAACATCACATGCTCTTTTAGTATAAATTTAACTTAACGCCCAACTAGAATTATTAACTCAGGAAACGTACACTATATTAGTTTTGGAGATAGCGTCCATTTCCGACTCTTCTTAAGTAAATTAAAACTTTGGGAAAGAGTTATATATTCGAAAACGGTTTTCTAATGGAATTTGAGTATTAAAAAAAAATTACAATTAGTATTTATGCGATGTTTTCGATGTTTTTTATATATGTGTAATAATATAATACAATTAATTTTTCTGCGGTCTCTTGTTTACATATTGTACAGATTTAAAAAATGATTTATATTTTGGAGCCACTGCAACGTAAAACAAGATCTTTCATGTAATACAAAATCAAATCATTCGATCACCCGGTTTTTAATGTGTAGAACAGTTAATTATCATTACAAAACGTGGCGGGCAAATGGAATTTCATCAGATCTACAACTGCAAATATTTTAAATTTTATGTTTATTCTTGTAAGAAGTTATTTTTGATTATGAATTAATGTATAGTAACTTCTTAAATATTTCAGAATAAATTCATACTTCTATCTTTATTGCCGCATCGATAATTCTAAGAAAAATAGATTTCTAAAATTGGGCACCGTCTAAAGCGTTGTTGTTTTGGCCGGCATTATGGCATTAAGAAATTAACCATGTGACGAATAAGGGGCCTGGCAAATAGGATTTTTCCACTAAAAAAAAAAATACAAAAGCTCCCACAGTAATACCTTCCCCCCTGTAAAAATATTTATTTGGTTAGTTTCGGATATTTTAATGGTACATGCAATTTAACAATGATTTTCCATTTATGAAAAAATTAAAATCATTTTTTTAGATCCAAAAATTATTAAAAAAAATTAAATTCTTTATATCAAATAATGTTATTATTTTATTATAATTATTAAATAAAGTCCAATGTTTGTTATAAATACTTATCATAGTTTTCAGAATTCTGTAAATATTATTGTTATACAATATAATTAAAATTTAATAATTATACAAATAAGTACTTTTATGATGCATATCATCTCAATTTTTTTGTCACATTGTTGGCTTAGTATCTGTAAACTTAAACGATAAACTTTTAATTCAATCTGTCAAATTAAATATAAGATAATATCACAATCATGCCTATATGAAGACACGACAAAAGGCAATAGTAAATGAATTTAACGATTCCTTTATTGAACTCTTGGTTTATTCTAAAACCTTAACATTAGTTACTTTTTAACTCAAGGGAAAATACAAGATATTTATATAAAATAGAATAATATAAAATCAACTATAACAAATATAATAAAGAGAATAAATAATATAACCATAATAAATATAATATATATAATAAATAAGATATAATTAATAAATATAATAAATATAACTCATATATTTAATATGTTCACTTGATTAACATTGACAAATTTAGCAACTCTGTCAATTTCGTCAACTTCATCAACTATGTTGATCATTTAAATCACATGACTTTATTTTAGCACAGTCACAAATCACGGCTTCAACATCTCATTTTTTTATAATATGATTAAATATGAAATCAGTATATATTATAAGTATTATAAATATATGTATTGCAACTATGATCTAAGTATTAAAAAATGTAAATATAATAAGATAGTAAAACCTAAAAAAATCAATTAAACTGAAAAGTTTTATATATATTTTCACAAAATTTTAAATCAAATATGCTTTCTTATAAAAAAAAACCTTTCTTTAAAAATAAATACACTTTATTCTTATAATAGCAATTTTGAAAAAAATTCACTTTTACTATTTGTTCTATATATAATAATTAGTTCAAAGAATTTCTAATAAAACTAAACCTATTACTTAAAAAAAAACCTGCTAATTCTAATAATAAATTCATCACTTTTTCTGCCTTTTATTAATGTTAATAAGTTTATCAATTTTTAAAATATATATTCTATTTTTAGTGAAAATGAAAATGTTGATTTTAATCAAGATAAAAAATTTATTTACTCTTATTGCAAAGAAAATAAGTAAAAAATTACATTTATTTTTTTAACTTTTAAAAATTTATTACTTAAAATTCAAAAATAAATCTATAATAAGAAAATAAATTAATTAAGTAGTATACTCGCTAGTTTTCAAATCTGTCAAATCAAATAATATAAGCTTGGAGATAAGTAAGAAAATTTTGAAAATTTCTAATTAAATATATGAAATTATTAAAATGAAAAAAGAAATTATTATAATTGTAAATATAAAAGAAATTATATAAAAATAAGAAACTATATAATTAATATTTGTATAGTAATATATATTTTATAATTTTAATAATATTACAATACTTTTTTTTTAAGCTTCATAGGATAATTTGAGCACTTTAGTCAAAATCAATTACCTTTTATTTCTAAGTAAAAGTTATTTAGCAGATTCAATATTATTTATATTTAATTTTTTCAAAATTGATTTAATATTCATGTAAAATAATTTTTTTTATAACTTTATTAAATTAGTCACACTTTTTTAACTTCACAAATTAATTTGATTACTTTAGTTAAAGTAAACTGCTTAATGTATATTAAGTAAAATATTTTATATATTTGATACTATTTAATATAAAATTTTATATTAATTAGTTAAATATTCATTAAATAATAGCTTTTTGTAACTGTATTAATTTTCAAATTTTTTTTGTTCTTTTAAATATTTATTTATATAATTTATTAAATACTAGTGTTCCATATGAATACGGATCAATATAAATCCAATCTGAATCTGACAGATCAGATTCAGATCAGATTCAGATCTAATTCAAATTCAGATTCAGATCTGATCTGATCTGTCAGATTCAGATTTGGATTCAAATCTGATCTGCCAAATTTGAATTCAGATTTAGATCTGATTCGTTAGATTCAGATTGGATTCAGATCTGAATTCAGATCTTGAATTGATTATTAATTAATAAATTAATAATCTTTTTTGCCAATATACCATTGTAAACTTCTTTCTTTAAAACTGAAGAAAGCAAGTTTACCAACTTCAGCTGCGATAAATAAATATTTTTTTTATTTTCTCTTTTTTTATTGTTTGTTAATATATATTTAATTTATTTTAGGATTTGTGTTTAATTAAGTGAGTAGTGTGATGGGGGAATTGGTGCAGTGAGAGGTAGTAGAAGCAGTAGGATAAATGAGAGGCAGTGGAGGTAGTGGGATAAGTGGAGGCAGTGGAGTGGTGAGGTAGTAGGGTGAAATGAAAGAGGAAAGTGTCAATATGTGTAAATTATAATTATTAATTTTTAAATTTTTATATTTCAGGATCAGTTAAAAATTGTAGAATTAGCAATTAGTGACTATAGCAGTAAGTCGCTTTAATTTAATTTTTTCGTTTGTTTATTTTTTTAATTTATTATTTATTTATTTTTTAATATTAATTAGCGATTTTGTTTGTAATAAAAGGTTGGG